GGGGGGAAACAAAATAAACTGGTGATCAAAAAGTTTTCACTGGATATTTTTCACTAAACATTTTTTTTTAAACGTATTAAACAATGAAATAAAAGTTATTAGATTCATTTAACTAAAAAAATATGGGTTTCAACAGAGCTAATAACGAAAGCCTGCACTTCACACTTGCTTTTTACTGCACTGTGAACTTCTTAAAGTACTTTTAAAAAGAACAATACTGTTCCCTTAAAAGCCCGGAGAGTGAGCCGTCTTTGCACTCTTGGATGACAGACGGTCATCATGACAGTAGAGACGTAACCATAAAGTTGCATTATATAAACATTTGAGGCTGTAATAGCTTCTGTACCAGGGCTTTGTAAAACAAGGCTGGTGTTTTGTGATTTTTGAGAAGTCAGTCTGTTGTTTTTACTGTATGTTCTGTGTGATGTCTGGGTTAAAATAAGGAAACACTCCTTATTGGTCCCGTGTGTAAAACAAACAAACAGAGCCCTTTTCCCCCCCATAAAGGAGCGACTTTAAAAAATTAATCAGATAACCCCGGTGACACATACTGAAGTGGAAGCGGGCATTTCACGCTAAAAGTTTTTATCGCAGTTCTAATCATGCACTGATGTCAACGTGATGAGGGTGTCATCACACACAAAGTATCATAGACTGTAGCTTCAACTTTGACATGCAGCCCTGCAGTTACTCAAACAGGAGCAAAGAGTGAATGTATCTGCAGATGATTTACATTTCATAGGGTAAATTAATGATGGCCATCGACCTGTGTCGCATGTCATTCCCGCTCCCATCCTCCTTATTGCCTGGAACGGCCATTGTTGGTCACTATCTGTCACATAAATGAGAAAAATGAAGCACTATGACAGCGGGCAGACGAGTAGCAGCCAGACTTCCAGTAGTCCTCATCCCGTACTTGTTATTAAGTTCATTCTTTATTTTGATATTCTGATTGACTTCCTAATAGTACAATGACATACGACAGCTTGCCGACATTGTCTCATTATTACTGATCACTAATACAATAAATAAGGCGAAAAAATGAACGAGGGGTTTACCTTGTAGGATGGAGATGAATTAATTGAATTATTATGAACATGTGCAGTATGGCTGTCCTCTAACTACATTATTAGACATTTATTTGTATCCCTTTGTCTCTACAGACACCTTCTCACACAGAGTTAACAAGCCAAAGAAGACTCCTCTCATCCATCATGTTAATGCTAAAGTCTAATATACATTAGGAGCAAAACAGAGAAGCGAGAATGGATATGTGACACACCGAGTGTGAGAGAAACTGAGGGAGAAAGAGTAGAGGGAGAAAACAGGCTGGTAATGAAGTACCCACCACTAGTGGATAAGAGCTAAAGTGGTCTAACAGATCTGTCAGGCTGCTAGACTGTGGCTAATTATCCCTCCTCCTCTTTTGTCTGCATCCTCTCCTCTGTCACTTCTTCTCTCTCGAATTTACTCTGCCCGGCGTGTTTTTCTCTCCACTTTGGCTCCGTCGTTTTCTCCCCTCTTTCCCTGCTTTTTCTCGTCTCTCTCTCCCTCCGTCTGTCCCATCTTCCCATTTCCCATCTGTCTCCCCTTCCATGTCCAATCCCTTTCTCTTTCTCTCTCTTTTTTTCTTCCCTGGATGAGATTGGGTGTCTGGGGCTTAGTTTTTGATTTGCAAGTCAATCGTAATTTTCTGTCAGAGAGTTTAAGTTGAGGGAAGTTTTTAATATGGCCTGTATTATTTCATACGGGAAATGATAAATTTGCATTAGAATCCTCTTTAGAGTTTCTCCTTTTTTTCCTCTCTCAAATACAAAAAGCAGCTGAAAGTTACGGTTCTCAAAACTGCAGCGGTAATAATATATAATATGGAACGAATGACAACATTGATAAGCAGTGCATTTCTGAAAGCATGGGCCCTTTGTTAGACAAACAATGAGGGGCTCTGACATCCAAATATTACAGCAAAGGACACGTTTTACTCAAATTAAAGTACATTTTATTATTAAACTACTTTAAATGCCTCTCAAAACACTGCGACTTGCACAATTCCTATTTTTGCGCATAGATATAGATCCATTCATGTTGGAAAAATAAAATGTTTTAGGATATCAATTGGATTGGCACATAAACCAAGCTCCAGCACTGCAATAATATAAAATTCAATGACTGTGAGGTTAGAGTGATGCTTAGCATCTCAGACAGGCGGGTTTTAATGGGCAAACTTGACTCAACTCATGTAGAAGTGTATGAGATAGATATTAGATAGACCTAATGAGACGTGAGCCATTGGTTTGTGAAGCCCGACTCTGAAGGCTCGGTGTTAGCATTTTGGCAAACCAATTTGGATTTTTGGTGCCAAATCTGACCACAATTGGATAAGAATGTTGAGTGGTAGCTAATGCAAGGTGCATCCATAGGCTGTATGGGAGCACTAACTTCTTGGATGGCCTGGTAATAAAATTAAAAGCAGAGTTAGCCATATTATATGCCAGACAATTGCATTAAAAATCCCCCCGAAAAAACGGCACGTCGTCGAGAAGTCCAGTGCAGCGACTCAAATTAACAGAGGTGAAGCCCCAGCAGACAGCTACCACCTACAGCCGCCTCGTGTCCACATAAATCTGACTTTAAGCATTCATCAAGTTTAAACAGTTTTTGTAAGCATGCCTTTTTTCCCCCACTGTAAAGTTGGACATTTTAACATGCGAGTCTATAGAGATTGACTTGATTTTGGTGATCTCAAGAGACTGTAGATCAAATGTTCAAGCTGTTATTATGACCTATAGTTAACGCTTCAAGTAGAAGTACAGTGCATTACTGGTGTCAACCTCACATGGTTAAAAGAAAGAAAGAAAAAACACGTAGTGTTTGAATTATCACAGTATTCATCATATGGCACCCATGGCCTCCTCAAACTGTCTCAAGTAATTCTGGTTGTATTTGTTTTGCATGTCAAGAGGTGTCCGATCCAGATTGCATGATTTTAGTGCCAAGCATGAACAGACAAGGATACAGCTGGTGACTTGAAATTGAAATAACATTAAATTGAATAGAGGGCTCAGAAGAGGCAACCTTATGCTTTCAGGGAAGTGTACGCTGCACCTGGACCCTGTGTTTGTGAGCGTCACTAGGCATGTAATCTTTCTAAATATGAATAATGTTGAATTTTTAGACAAGAGACATGATTTTTGGTACCATAAGCTTTCTGGTTCCCAAGCCAGTGTACTCCTAGTGCAAATTCCAAGCCCAGATAAATGGAGAGGGTAGAGTCAGGAAGAGCATCCGGCATTAAATCTTTACAAAACATGTGGATCATGAGTAAGATTGCTATACTGTATTAGTTGGGGTCTGGGTTAACAATGACTGCGATCGATGCTGTTGAGCTGGAGGGTACCAGTGGAAACTGTGCTAGAATTGGCTGAAGAAAACCCGGAGCAGAGGAAGCAAGGGATAGGATTAGAAGGGAGATGAACCACTGTGGCATTATTTGCCTCCTTTTAGCGCAGCAGCTGAAAACAGGAATAGGGAAACAGTGTAACACTTTGAAATAAAGCCAACAACTAAGGGCATGAAAAAAGAAATGATTACACTGAAAGTAACTTTAAGTAATTTAGCAGAAAAACAAGATATTGTCCCATCTTACATTATATGCTGTACTTTTTTAGACAAGTGGTGTAATATGGGGTGAATGAAGGTCACTGAGGATTTTTTTTTTTTTAGGTTTCAGGGTTTTAAAAAAACATATGTTTAATATTTGTTATGTTGATGTGTATGATGGATATTCAATTATTCCATTTTATCAATATAAATGTGATACCGACGGGCGATCGTGGCTCAAGAGTTGGGAGTTCGCCTTGTAATCGGAAGGTTGCCGGTTCGAGCTGGTTCGGACAGTCTCGCTTGTTGTGTCCTTGGACAAGACACTTCACCTACCGCCTACTGGTGATGGCCAGAGGGGCCGATGGCGTGATATGGCAGCCTCGCTTCTGTCAGTGCGCCCCAGGGCAGCTGTGGCTACAATGTAGCGCCTCCACCAGTGTGTGAATGTGAGAGTGAATGAATAGTGGAATTGTAACTATATAAATGCAATCCATTATTATTAATATTACTTTCCTGGAAAACAGCTGTTTTTATGGAAAATTACCAAGAAATCTTTTCTGGTAGAAAACCCAGAATTTAGGCACTACTTCAAATTAATTAATCACTACTTGAATTATCATAATTTTTTTGTTTCCTGTAAACATGTGACTTGTTTATGCTTTATTCTAGTGTATCTACCTTTTAAGAATTTGTAAGTAAATATAATTACATTGTGTACACTGAATTACCGAGGAATTACGCCCTTTGTCGTATTATAAAGTGTTACTAAAAACAGCTGCCAGTGGGGGGAAACTGAAATCTTGACCCAGGTGTCCATTGGCTTCACAGAAGCCCCCAAGATACTGGCAGCTGCTCCCCAGACGCTAACCAGCAAGTTCCCAAACAGATAAGAGCGTGGCTGGGAGCAAGAGAAGCATAATCTCGACACCCATTTAACTCTTAGCAAACATTTTAGAAGGAAAATATGTTGAAACCATCCGTGGCAGTAAAAGGCGACGTATCAATTGATTGTAGCCAGCTGTCCTAACAGTCACAGAAAAATGATATTGCATACGTTTTAAAGATTATGAAAGGTCAAATCTATAGAAAAGACAACAGAGAATGAAATGCATGCTGTTACTGTGTAACCATGCCTTCATGTTTTATGCATGTCTCAGTTTAGCAGATCGTGAATGTAGATTTGTGTAAATATTCTCTCACTTACGCCAATCAAACCATGGCCAGTGACCTTGTGTGACTCCACCTGTACACTGAAATCGCAACTCGGTGCAGAAGCACAGGTGCAAATGCCAAACATGCATTTAAAACACAGAGATGTGTAATATCGTACTTGCGAGCTCAAATTAAGAGAACATTTTATTTAAATCTAGCACTTTTCCACCGTGTCCCTCTCTCACCTGTCTGCCTGATTCTGCTGCTGGGTCTGTGAAGCAGGCGGAGCTCTGGACTTGTTCACCTTGGCGTAGAGCCCGTCGATGTCCTCGAAGGGCGCCTGCTGCGGGCCGGACACCCCGGCTGGTACTGCGGGGGAGGGCGTACGGCTGATGTACGACTGCGGCGAGGGCGGCTGGCGGAAGTTGTTGATGCGAGCGTAGTTTGGGTCGCTGTCATCGTCCTCCACGTCAGGGAGGGAGGACGGGTCAGGGGTGGCGGGGCCGGATTGGACCTCGGCGTAACGCGGGTCGAAGCTGTCAGCAAGGAGGAGAGGCGTTACACAAGAGCACAGGCGCAGCAAAAATACACGTTTTACACATTTTCCCTGTGATTCTTCTTCTGTGACAGACATTCGGCTGAGCAGTTGTTATGGAGGAGCAGGTGGGCGCATCAGAGCTGTCAGGTAAGATGCCAATCACAGCACTTTACTACTGTGACAAATGCTGGTCTATTATTATTCTACTGTACATGTTGTAAGCCGCTCTGTTATCACACCCTCGACTGTGAAATAATAAAACAACAACACACAGAATGTCAATTTTTTGGTTGTTGTTGGGGTTTTTTGTGATTCATACCCATCTCTGTCATCAGGGATCCTGTCCAGCTCCTCCTCACTCAGTGCCTCCAGTTTGATCTTTGAAGCTTTTGCTGCATCTTTGCTCTTGTCTTCCTTCTTCTTGCCAAACCTGGAAACGACAAGAGGGTGAATTTGATCATCTCAAAGCCTCAGGCAGATAAAACCGTGGTGCTTTTATTCTGAAAGGACGGTTTATGGGCTTTAGTATCCTTTTGGAGACTTTAATGATGAAACAACACACTTCACTCAGTCAACAGAGCATGCACGAGTTGATGAAAGAGGCGGAGAGGCTCACACAACATGAAAACACCACACACACACACACACACACACTCTTCACTTTGCATCAGCTTTCCAAATCTGCTAGACAAACTCATTGTAACTCCTGTGCGTTCATTAGCGGCTGTGCCTGGAAAAAGACTGCTTAATGATAGATACGGTTATAATGTCACAGCAGGAACTGACAATCCTCACTGTGTGTGTGTGTGTGTGTGTGTGTGTGTGTGTGTGTGTGTGTGTGTGTGTGTGTGTGTGTGTGTGTGCAAATGCAGAAAAAAAAGGCGCAGAGCTGTCATGTAGCATATGGAGTATGAATATTTTAACATTTTGTTCAATAAAATAGCTGTTACACCGCAGCAGCGTGTTATCCTTTCCTTATCAACTCTGCCATTACGACCATCATCATCATTATCATTCTGCAGTCTTATTCTCTCGTTTTCGCAGGCAGAACATACTCGTCGCCACCTCTCTTCGACTTACAATGAATCTCGTCTTCGCGCTTTCAAGAAATTAACTGAGCCTTTTGCTCTAAATATTTCATATTCTTCCACCTCTCTTTCACATCGTCGTTCTCGCCGAGCCCGCCACCCTCTCCCTCGCTCTTTTTCGCTCTCTTTCTCTCGCCGCCTCCGCCTCACCCGCCAACCCGCTTCTCTTTTTCTCTCTCACCCTCTCCTTCCCTCTCAGCTCCCGCTGAGCCAATCTAATGTCTGTGTTTATCTCATTAACAGCGAGGCACTTCTCATTACTGCTACAGGCAGATACGTGGCCTGAATGGTAACCCGCTGGCCTGGCCAAGTGGAAACCTGGACAGGGATGCCACATTGGCCTGGCACCATCCTGCAAACCAATTAGAGTTGTTTTTTAGCTAATCTACCCGCTTCACTTGTACCTGTGTGGGTGACTGCTGCCAAAAGCAGGTCAGATATTCACATTGCTCGAGTTTTACTGTGAAAGATGAAAATAGAGACGCCAAATCAAATCATTTTCTTTTGATGTGCACAGTTTGTACTCACGAGGTCGTAAACTCATAGGATTACCTACTTTAACATGACATTTAAACTCAACTCGATTGATATTTCTTTGTGCTCGTGTAACATTTTTTTGTTTTTTTATGAGCTTTATCATTCTAAACAGCCATAAAGCCGGTTTCCTACAGCACACACAGATGGCCTCGATAAGCACTGCTATGCTAATTCCTAGCACATAAACATGCCACTCTTTAATCAGAATATTGCAGCTTTTGTCCACGTAACCTGCCTTCACCACTAATTCAGTCTCTGGACAGGACTCTCACATTAGCTCTGTTAAAATTTAGTGATCCAATCAGTAGCAAACACATCCTACTGGGCCTTCAATGGTGCACTATACTGAGGAGTGATCCAAATGAGCGTTTCAACTCCCCAGAGTCAGACTGTCAACACTGACTTGTGCTGTAACATACTGATGCAACTGAGGGACAACCTTCCTCATGTATAGCATGAAATTCAAGGTAAAATGTGGCTACTCTGACACACTGGGGTTGATCCAGCTCTAAGTGGAGATGTGAATGTACATGTGGTCCGAACGGGACTAATCTAAAAATAGCACAAGTGCCAGCGGCCACATTTAATCAAGTAGGATTTGCATTTGTTTAAGTGCAGAATTTCAGATTGGACCTTGTATAAAACTAATAAAAGAGTACTAAGATTAAACTTAAAATATTCAGTTTTTTGATAAAGCTTACAGTTGGGGCTGGATCAGGTGACCCTGAACCATCCCATAATTATGCTGCTACAGGCTCAGAACTTCCTGTGACTCACCTCATTTCACTCCCCAGGGGTTTTCCTTCTCCCACATTCTATGTTTTATCTCCATACACATCCTTTATTCTTTCCTCTTTCCCCTCACATCTTAACCCAGGGGTGTTGAACTCCAGGCCTCGAGGGCCGGTGTCCTGCAGGTTTTAGATATCACCGTGGGTCAACACACCTGAATCAAATGATTAGTTCATTACCAGCCCCCTGGAGAACTTCAAGACATGTTGAGGAGGTCATTTAGCCATTTAAATCAGCTGTGTTGGATCAAGGACACATCTAAAACCTGCAGGATACCGGCCCTCGAGGCCTGGAGTTTGACACCTGTGCCTTAACCGATCACACCAGAAGACCGCAACTCCCTAAACCTGGTTCTGGTGGAGGTTTCTTCCTGTTAAAAGGGAGTTTTTCCTTCTCACCATCACCTAGTTGTTGCTCACAGCTACTGAATGCTGCAGGGTCTTTAACTTGCAGTGTAAAGGACCTTGAAGCGACAGTTGTTGGGATTTGGCACTACATAAATAAACCTGAGGTGAAGTGAACTGAATTAATTTACGTAGGATTGTTTTACTACTGCTTGGTAAACCGCTTTCATCTGTGAAACTCAGCACCATCTGTAATAGTGATTTTTGGCTGACTCGACCTCTTCTCAAGGACCAGTAATTTGTCACACCTGTAGCTTGGAACAAATTCCATGTTTGTCATTTATATTAGGTCAAGAAAAGGAGTGACCTCGTGCAACTTCAGTGTTGTTCTATTCAGCCTAAGCGGAGCAGGGGTCTAATCGACCAGAATAAGTGGAAACACTTGTGTGGCTATGAAGGATCTGTAGGGCAGAGCCCATTATCTCCTTGACTCGACAAAAGTCATGGAAGGCATTACACTGCAGTATTCAGAGGCAGAGCAGCTGGAGCCGTGGCGGGTAAACTGAGCCTGATGTGCAAAATGTGTAGCGTTCCCCTTTAAGCAACACTGGCAGAGTTTCACACTGATCTTTGAGCTGTTTTGGGAAGTTTAAAATCTGTCATCTGCAACACCCGTGTTTTATTTTTATTTTTCTTTCGGCGATATCGCGGATGCTAAGCCCCTGCTGCTGTAATGTTTTTCCACCTCTCTTCCTAGAGATCACTTGCCACAGAAACAGTGTGGGCGCTGCTGCAGCATCTTTTTTCTCCCCTACAGATTTTTTTTTTTTTTTTACTTGGAACTATTTTGATTTTGATTTTCTAAGCACTCCCACATTATGCAGGAGCCAAAAGCAGACTAGCAATTACCTCAGCGATAACCATATAAAAATCAGCATCGTCAGAAAAGAAATATCAGCGCTGTTCATCTTCTATGCATCAGTGGACATATAATTATATTACACATAAATATATGATTATCCAAAATCCCAGGTTTAGTCGGCCGAGCTGTTTGCTAGATTCACACCCCCACCCCTCCCAGCCCGCCT